AACATAATAATCTTAACATGAATAAAGCGCCCAACTTTATTCTCTCGATTGTGGATCATAAGATTTAGACTATCATCTTTAGATTCTTGTCTTCCGCATGTTCTTCACATTACATGCATGACCTAAAGATTTAGAATGACAGTCTCAGACTTTCAGTTTGCTTATCATACATTCAACTATTATGAACATAAAGAGGACAATACATAGATATATAAAATAAATAAATCTTTATTAATAGTCAAAATATCTCAAAGAATATTGTTACATTTATTCCTAAGGGCATAAACGCTAACAGTGGAAGCTTCCTCTCCGAGGCCAGATGAGAAGTTTTTCTACTCCAGAGCAGCTTCCTCTGGAGCTAATAAGGATTTGTCTTCGTGACAGTTGTTGTTCTAAAGGCATCACTGTAGATGCCCTCACGGAGGCATCACTGCAGATGCCACCATGGAGATACTTCTTATGCTCCAAGAAACTCCTCTGTGACCTAAGATGCCTCATATTCTCTGAGAGACTCCCCTATATCTGAAGGTTCTTCCCGTGTTCCATGGAGATTGAATGTGTTAGGTGCTTCAGCAACGGCTGTTTAGCCAAAATCAGAAGGCGGCGCTCTAAAGCTGGTTTGACGTGTGTTTAGACCTTCAGAAATAGAAATGCCTTCGAAGCACCAAATTCAGTCAAACACTCCATGATCTCTAGACCAAGGGAACGTTTTAGTCTCTAAATGCACCTTTTTTTGGCCAATTTGTTTGTCAAAGAGAAAAGTCACCTGATGCAAGTGCTTCAGAGGAAAATGGTTCGTACAAGCCTCTGGCAAGGCATGATCATACAGCTCCGGAGTAACCGCCAAAATCTTCTAAACTTCTCTTATAAATACCTCTTAACTTCTTCATTTCAAGAGGGACCAAGAGGGAGATCTCTTTTGAAGCTTTTGGAAAGTTTTTTTTTTCCCTAACACTTGAGTTCATCCCTCAGGTTTGAAGTTCTTAATAGAAATTTCATTCAAAAAGTCTCAAAACACTTCGTTTGATCCATCCAAACTCGTCTACAAGCTACATTTGAAGTTTATGAGGTTTCTCTGGAAGTCCAAAAATCCGCTCCTTACCTGGACGGCTGGACTCAGCCGTCCCAGAGCACACTTTCAAAAAACTATAAACTTCATCTATTGATACACATTCTTGGAGGCAACTTGTGTTTGTTTTCTGAGCACTCCTTTGAAACAACATTATCCGCACTTTATGAGTCAAATAGCTGCTCTGAAGGCAATATGTGCTTGTCCTCAGAGCATTCCTCCTCTGAAATAACATTATCCACACTTTCCGTGTCAAATCTCCATCAACCATTCGGTTACTCCTCCCACTATACTTTGTCCATGCGATCTCCGTGATTGAGTTTAACATATTCCCATGCACATAGTCGAGAGTGTCTCAGTAACTTGGCAGCAAAGTGGGCTCCAGAATCTGATTTCATCGGCTTGCTTTGGGCCTAACCGATCCCCTCTTCTTTGTTGGAAGTCCTACCATACAAGCTCTTCTGTGAACGCCTCATATTTCGTCTGCGCATTGACACCGGATTCGCACCAAATCTACCTGGCCCTAACAATAATATAACTAATTTATGCTCTTGGTTGTAACACGGCCATATAATATGTTTAATTAAATTAATGTGTTAGCTATAGGTTCGTTCCTTGGTCTCGTTTAATTTCCTTGAGACTGACACGTGGAAGCGTGGTAAAACTCTTGCAACAATAACATATATAAAAATAAATACTATATACATGCTCTGTGTGTGTCGAAACGTTCCCATAGTACTTCTCTTGCAATTATCACATAATTACCTAATTGATCTCTAACCGACAAAATCCTTACCTCAATTTTCTTCTTTCATATCCATGTAATAGTAACCATGAGTCATGCCGATAAAAAAGAAGCTCCTGGTAAGTAATAAGCGCGTCTCATAATGTTGTGCATAATTTCCTGACATGCTCAACAATTTTCACTAGTATTTGACACATATTTCGAGACATGTTATTTGATTAATTAGCACTAAGGTTACTTCTTATTAATTATTGTAGCACAATTTACACATGTAGTTTCCCATTTATGTTTGAACTAGAAAATCTTTTTTCTTGTATAAATTTGCAGTCGTATATCCACCGCCAGGTCCGCCGGAATATTCTCCGCTGCCCGTGGTTTATCCACCACCACCTATGGCACCACCACAGCCGGTAGCAGTTGAGGGCTCTTATTATAACAATGATAATCAAGTCCCCTATCCCTATGTTGCGGCACCACCAAATACTGTTTTATATCCTCCCACTTATGTTTATGGTCCTCCTCCTGTCCTGGCTACTTTCCCCCGCCGCCGCAGTAGCAGCAGCAACAGACTGTTGTTGTGGCACAAAACAATTATTCTAGAGGTGATTTTCTTTGGGACTGCTGGTAAGTTTTATCATATCAATTCTTACTCACTCTTCTAATTAAACATATATATATATATATATTTCAAATCCTCTATTTAAATTTATGCAGTACGGATTGTCTTTTTTACTATCTCTTCGTAAGAATTGTTGTTTAAACTGTTGGATAATCTCTTTTATATTGTCTCATATATAAGAATGTCCACATTAAAATGTTTAGAGCGTAACATAGAATGACTCATAATCATCGATCAAACTGTTAAAAAATTAATCTAATAGATAGAACAACAGTACATTACTTAATTCCCATTAGTAGAAAATGATATACAGTTTTGAACCATAGAAATCCCTTAAGCATAATGTAACGGAAGTTTTAATTACATATGTATGCATGCAGAGATTTACATCGCGCGTACATATATATATATATATATATGTGTGTGTGTGTGTTTATGTGTGACTAAATCCCTCTCCTTGTACATGCAGTGTTGCTACCTTGTGCTGTTGCTGCTGCTGGCATTTGCACCTGCTTCTTTGCTGGGGATGCTAACAAGAGAGAGGGTTATGTTGCATATAATGGATGCTACTGGCATTCATTAACCGTTAAAATCTGCTTTAATTTGTTTCTGTTGTCCTTAACTAGTTAAGTATATTAAACGTCCAAGCAGGGGTTTGTGTAATATTATTGTTAAGGACATTGTCCGTTTAGTTCACTGATTCGAGTTAAGATGTGATTTTATGTGAGAGCTTTTTACTGTAGTAAAAAAGTTAAATGTGATTGTTTTTGATAATTTTTTACTGTAGTAAAATTCAAATTCTAAACTCGAATCATTAAAATGAACGAGACTTTGCTTTGAAATTTCCAAGAAGTACTGATAGTACAGCTTGTTTAGAATTAGAAGTGTCCAGTTCGTGCTGTATATTTCTTCTTGACAAATTAAAGGCAATTCTAAAAGGATATATATCCTTGGGTTGGTGTCTGAACTATTCTAACGAAGTATTTTCATGGTCTTTACTGTATTGTATTTTATGCTTTCGGTTTGTAGGATCTTTCTTTTTCTTTTACTTTAAAAAAAAAAAATAAGTCTATATGTAAACTTTATATTCGATGGGAATAGTATTTAAACTTTCAGAAATGCTCATTTTTCTTTTTGGTCTCTTTTCTTGCGCAGTTTTTTGTCAAATAATTTTTAGCGATGTATATTTAACGGTTACATTCCGACATGTGATTTCTTATTAAATATAAACATTTAATAATATGACATCACTATATATGTATATATATATATATATACACACATATTTAGCATTGCTCCTCGAAAGGCCACTAGATCAAAAACAGTCGAATGAGGTGGAGTTCTTTGCATGCAATTAATACATATTACGAGTGAGGCAGTCTAACAGTAATGGATTATTATGATTTGTGGTTAAGATATATTGTCTTTTTCCTTTTTGCTCGAATTCTGTGGTCCTCTTTGAGGCTAATGTGAAGCTTTGTCTTAGGGCTGGTTTAATTCGTTGATTTAAGTTTTTAATTTGAGTTGAGATGTGACTTTATGTGAGAGTTTTTTACTGTAGCAAAACTCGAATTCTAAACTCAAATCGGTGAAATGAGCATTGCCTTAATTAGTATTCTATTACTCAACTTAGAGTATCCGGGATCATTCTTACCGCTAGTCTATTTAAGGGGTGGAGTGACACACTCCTTATCGAGAAATAGTGCCGGTAGTAGGTCTTTCAATGATCACTCTTATCATACATGTCTTTTTACCATTTCTGAGTACTTTTAACTCATTCTTATCATATAATTGCCTTTAAGATATTGTCCCTCGACATATCTTCCAATGACACATTCATTGAATGAAAATATTTCTATTGGCCCGTTTGATTAATAAGTTTAAATATAAATTTAAATTTTGTAAGAGAAAATACTGTACAATAATTAGAATCTATGAAACAAACATGGGCTTTACTAATCTTATAGGACACATTTATATGAACGAAATAATAATAAAAAAAGAGTAATTCTCTTTTTCCATTATATAATTATGCATTCACTTATGAAATCGGTACTTAAAATTTATTAGGCCAATAATATATAATCAAGCTAAAATAAATGAATAGTAAACTTACTTATGTTGCATTAATAAGTTTACATATTAGAAGCCAGTAGTCAATATTTAATTTTGTTTATAAGTCTCCTTGTCCCATAGATCAGTTATAGTTTTTCTTTATTTTTTATTTTTTATTTTTTTTGGGTGCTGGAATAAGACGTTCACGTTCATATGTTTCATCGCTATTATAATTTGTAGCCTGTAGGGTATTATACCTAATACATTTAAATTAGTGGGTTTGTTTTATCTGTTCCTCATTCTTTTGAAATTTCTGTCCTTGAGACCAACGCTTGGAATTTAGTCAACCGCGTTGCTCTCAATAGACATCGAGCTCTCCTACACATATACATATATATATATATATATATATATATATATATATATATACACACACACACACACTATACATACAATATATCATATATATACCAAAACTGTCGTCTACTTTCTGTTGATATTATCATCTCGATCCTTGACTTTTTGGGCTCTTAACAGATTTCTATCACAATATAATAATTCTTCAGCCACAAATCCTTTCCTTTCTCCTTCCACATCCCTTGTACTCCTCATCATATATCATGAGTCATCAACAAGCCCCCGGTAAGTCATTCACTCTTTGATCAACAATTTTCAACCTTTGACTTGAAAACTTTTGTCAACTTGGCCCTGGATATATGAAAATGTTCTAGGAACTACTTTATTTTTGTATATGTTTATTTGATCACCAATATACATGACTTTTTTTTTCCACTTTTTGTTGTAGTTCTCCATATATTTGTCTGACTTTGAAAAAAAAAAAATTCCCTTTTACATTTGCAGTTGTATATCCACGACCCGCCGCAGAATATTCTATGCCACCAATTCCTCCGTCATATCCACCGGCGGCGCCAGCACAGCCAGTAGTAACTGGATATGAGGGACACAACAATAATAATTACCAAGTGCCCTATGTTGCAGCTCCACCACCAGCTGGTTATCCCACCACTAATTATTATGGTCGTGACCAAACTAATCATGTTGTTCCTGCACAAACCAATTCTAAAGGTGAAGGCTTTTGGAAAGGCTGGTGAGTATTAGGGCTTATTTAGTTCGTTAATTCGAGTTTTTAATTCGAATTGAGATGTGATTTTATATGAAAGCTTTTTACTGTAACAAAAAAGTTAGATGTGATTGTTTCTTAGAGTTTTTTACTGTAGAAAAACTCGAATTCTAAACTCAAATTGGTGAAATAAACGGGACTTAATTAGTATTTCAATTCTTAATTTCCCTTCTTCGTACTTGATCTTAACAAAAAATAATCTATTATTATATATAACAAAATTTATTAGATATATACTCAAAATATTAAAGTTGCAACCAATTATTGTTGTAATATACTAGTATGTATAACAAAATTTTGGTACTTTTTTTTTTTTTTTCCTTGTGCAGTGTTGCTGCCTTGTGCTGCTGCTGGGTCTTAGACGTCTGTTGTTGCTGAGAGATATATAAAAGAGGAGCTTATTACGCACACTTATTCTAGTGGTATTTATATATAATTATTAAAATCTGAATCTAGCCTTGTGTAATGTTTCTCCTAGCCTTAAATAAAAGATGTTCAAATGGGTTTTGTGTATCACTTATTAAGGAGTATATTTGTAAAGTGAAATTTTTGAATTTGGACTAGTTTGGTATCAACACCCAGTTTGTAGTTTGTACTGTATTCTTTTTACAAATGAGGTTTGATATCCTTTAGAATTATCTAATGCATGCAGATCCAAATAATTTAAGGTATTTAAGATGATTGGTTTTGATAATTTGGTTCAACTAATTTACATGATGTCAATTGTCAAATAAATAAATTACACTGAATAATTAAAATGAAAAAGTTGCACTTCTGCATTATAGGCAAGGTTTTTTATTTGAACTAAGGTTATGATATTGTGGAAAATTTAGGGGTTGTTCTTTTGCATTTTTGAGTTAGAGTGATTTGAGTGATGATCTTAAGTTGAGTGTAACTTAAGTTGAAATTGTAACTTGAGTTTGTATTTGGATGTGCACATTTGAGTTATGATTTGAATTAAGAATCTATTTGAGTTTGTGTTTGAGTGGGTCAAAACTTAAAAATTTGTATTTAGATAGTATTTTAATAAAAACTCAATGGTGATGAAAAATTTTAACAGGGTATATAGGTGAAGTTTTATTCGTCTTTTCATTGTGAATGCATAGAAAAAAAATCATCTCAATCAGAATTAAAACGAAAAAATTATGACATTTTTATGAATATAAAAAATACTGTTTATTAACTTGAGTTCGAGTTTATGAACTCGAATTGAAGGGGAAATTTGAACTCGAGTTTAGCCTCAAACTCGAGTTCAAACTCAAATTTTACAAATGAACATGAACTTGAATAAATTTATAACTCCAGTTTAAACTTTCTCTGAGTTTCATTGCAAAAGAACAACCCCTTATTAAGTGTAATATTGGTACATTTTAGACTTGAAATGTCATGATGGGTAAAATAGGTAAAGTTTAGGTGTTGTGTTAGGACGAACATATTTAAAGGAATCTTTTATTTTTTTTTTTTAAGAGAAAATAAGATAAATACCCTTTAAAATGTATGAGCTTTTGATTTTTTACTTATTATACTTGATTAATATCCTTTAATCAAATAACCATATTAGTAAAAAAAATATATATATATATTAATCAAGAATAAAGAATAAAAATCTCAGAACAATACATTTAAAGAGTGAGTTGATCACTTTTCTCTATTTTTTTTTAATAGAGAAACTCAACTAAAACTTAAGGTGGTTAAATGGAACATTTTAAATTTGAAGTAAGTAATACCAAAATAAGTAAACTTTGAAGGTGCCCAATATTTTTACTAAGCTCTAAACTGCGAGCCAGAGCTAGCCTGGTATGAAATTGCCTGTTTCACAATAGAAACTACTGGTATGGTAAACTACCATTGTTTTTTTTTTTTTTTTTTTTTTTTTTTTAAAAAAAAATTTTCTTTTTTTTTTTTTTTTTTTTTTTGACAAAGTAAATTACCTTGTTAATATAGCAGTCGGATACTTTCAATAACACATCAGACTACCTTTTAATAAAAGATAAGTTACAATTGGTATCATGAAAGACTACCACAAGCACAGAAATGTGCCTCGAGTTACCACTAGTAACCTTACATGATACATTCAGTATTATACTTTCTTACTTAGCAATTTTAAAACGACAGGAATGAATTCAACGAGAACCCCTTTTAAGGAATTAGCATGTATTCAAATTTAAAATGAATCACTTTGCAGTTTTCTTTTCACTTCTTTTTTTTTTTTTTTTTTTTTTTTTGTGCTCAACAGTTTTCCTTTCACTTTGTATCATTTTATTATGACAGCTGGGGTGATGTGTCGAAAACAAAAATTCTGCCAAGTTTTTATTATTCCTTTATATTTTTTTAGGGTAAATTTTTTCCTTTTACTGCTAGGAAAAATATTATGAGTGCGTTTAGAATCCGTTATAAAATAATTTTTTTTTTGTATGTAAATGAAAATGAATACATTTTTAATTTTAGACGTGGAATCCGTTATAAAATAATTTTTTTTTTGTATGTAAATGAAAATGAATACATTTTTAATTTTAGACATGAATCATTTTTAAAAATGTGTTTAATAATTTTATTTAAAGATTATTTTTAAGTATAAGAAAAAATTAAAACTCTATTTAGTTTTACATTTTTAAAAATGTGTAATAGTATTTTAAATAATACTCTGAATAATTAATATTCTCCCTAAATAATACACTAGTAATTAATATATTATTTAAATATATGTTATATATAAATAGTATACGTACTAAGTAAGTAATAAACAATTAAAATACTAATTAGTATGTAAAAGATTAATTTATATATATAAGAACGTAGTAATTATCATTAGCAATAAAGTGAAGATCCTATATTACTGCCGTATAAATCCCTCTTCAAAAGAACTCTTCCAATTTCCTTCAGGTGCTTTACTAGTACTAATCAGTCTATAATACCATATCAAAGCTTTGTCCACCAAAAAAAAAAAAAAAAAAATCTTCACGCTCTTAAAAAAGATCTTCACGCTCCTCTTTCTCGTTGAACCCACCATCCATCCCCATCACTTTCACTTTCCTTTTGCCTTTCTTCCCAACTCTCCTTCTTTGAGACCAACGAAACCGCCTCACTCATCACCACTCTCCATATGCTCCGGTGAAGAAGCTCCGCCGTCTTCCATGGCTTCTAGCGCCGCTAATCGGAACGGAACCGGTCACCGCGGCGGCGTCAAGTTTGATCGTCCTGCTCTCAACCTCAGAACGTCGTCGTTCAAGTCCAGACTCCCTCCGGATCCACCGATTATCAACTAAGAAGGAGAAGAAAACCTCCAGCGCGTTTAGACTGAGAAGCTCAACATTTAGAAAATGAAAATAGGAAATAGAAAATGAGTTTTAATCGTTTTTAGTGAGTTTTTGGGAGAGAAGAAACGTTTTCAGTTTTATTTTTGGTTGGATACTACTCCAAATTACGGCCTTGATTCTATTTTTAATTTTAAATTTTTATAGTTAAAAATTTTTAAAAAATGTCACATCTAATTTTTTTTTATTACAGTTAAAAATTCTCAAAAAATGTTACATCTCAATTTAAATTAAAAATTCAAATTTATAAAATGAACGAGACCGTAATCTTCAGATCATTTTTATTTTTTATTTCTTGAAAAACGTAAAAAAATGTTTTCAAAACTGATTCCAAACGCCCTGCATGTATTTTCTGCAAAGGAAAAAAAATGAAACTCTACAGCAAGAAAATAAAAACAAAATAATCAAGGAAAGGAAATCTTATTGTTATGGGCATACAGTCGCATAACTTTTTAGCAAATAAATAAATACACGAGTTTTTCAAAGCGCAAAAAAAAAAAGAATAATAATAATAATTTACATCAATAGTGTCTAATTTTTTTAATAGGTGACATTTGATCCTATTCTTTTAAATAAACCCCAAACTCCTTAAACATTGAAAATTTTGAACCATTCCGTTTATTTCGTCAATTTTCTCACAATTTCATTCGGATAACCCATCGCGTAAGTTAATTTTACTATGAAAAGACCACAATATCCCTGTTATATAGACACGTCACTCCAATTCTAAAAATAAAAAAGAAAAAAAATTCAAAAGAACGAAACTACGGTCTCCAATTCCAAAATTCCAATCAACATTCAAACCCACATTTCGTGATCTCTTTGCCCAAAATCATTCATTTTAGAAATTGAAAAGGACATATATCAAACCTCAAGTCATCGACACTTAAAAAAAATCCACAAATCAACCAAGTAGAGCTCCGTTTGTTTTACCGATTCGAGTTTAGAATTTGAGTTTTGTTAAGTAAAAAGCTCTCAGAAACAGTTAAATCTAACTCTTTTGTTACAGTAAAAAACTCTCACATAAAGTTACATCTCAACTCGAATTAAAAGCTCGAATCAGTGAACTAAATGGCCCTAAAATATGTTAGGGTAGTTTACAAATTTACACCTTAAGGGCTCGTTTAGTTCGCTGATTCGAGTTTTTAATTCGAGTTGAGATGTGACTTTATGTGAGAGTTTTTTACTGTAGTAAAAAAATTAGATGTGACTGTTTCTGAAAACATTTTATTGTAGTAAAACTCGAATCGGTGAAATGAATGGGTTGTATGGATTTAACAATGAATTTGCTCTCTAAATTTTTAATTTTGATAAGTTGCCACTCAACTTGTAAAATTGTTGTAATATGCCTCATTTTGATATTTATTGTGTTAAATTAGTATCGAAAAAACACGTTTAACGAAAAATTTTAACATCTCAATTCAACTGTAACATAAATCTTAAAAAAAACTTTTAATCTCTTAAATACAATAAAAATTTAAATAAAGTTAGTAAAATGGGGCATAAAATCAAATTTGTAAAGTAAAAATAAACAATTTAGAATGTTACAAAAAGCAAGGCCATTGAGATTGAGAGAGGTTTTGATTGAAGACGACAGACTATGGCAATTGCATTCTTTTTAACTTTTGTTGAAAATAAATTTTTGAGATTACTAAAATGCCCTTTTATATTGGGTTCCATGCATGGCACATGATCTATTATGTTCAAAGATTAACAGAAATAGACGAAAATGTTTAAATTACCAATATTTACAGAGTTTGGGGGTTTATTTTTCTAAAATTAAAAGAGAAAGACTAAAGTGTCACTTATTAAAAAAAATAAAGATTTTGACAAAAAAGTTCTTTAAAAAATACTATAACTTATCAATATATATGTAAACATAGGATGCGTCTATTGCTCTTTTTAAACCTGCGCGCACACATTTTTAAAACACTTTTCATTTTACTTGTTACACCTCTTTTAAAATTTCAAAAAAGTCCTTATAACTAACTCACTCAATTATACTTTTTATGCACATTTTTACGCACATTTTTACTAAAAAATATTTGGATTAATTTTACAAATAGTCTTTGAGATTTATCCTCAATTTTATTTTAATTTGTGACTTTTAAAACATCTCACAGTTGGTCTCTGAGGGTTTACTGTTTCAATTTCAGTCCTTTTATTAGCTTGATGTTAAATATTTACGGAATCTGTGAAAATTAGGGATTAAAATTGAAAACATATAAAGTTTAGGGACTAAAATAATTCAAAAGGTAAAAGTTAATTTCCACATATACTATCAAAATCTTAGCTGTTTTCAATTTTAGTCTTTAATTTACGTAGATTTCATCAAATTTTAACAATTAATTAATGAAATGACTGAAATTGAAATAAAATAAAACCTTAAAGACCAACTATACGTTTGAAAAATCAAAAATTAAAGTGAGGTTAAAAGTAAACCTCAAGAATTATTTATGAAATTAAGTCAAAATACAAAATATTTTATTTTATGAAATTAATTCAAAATATTTTATTCATTTAATTTTTTTTAAAAAAATAATTAAATGAAACCATTTGAGATGTGTGTTTCGAGAGATCTCACTAAAAAAATCCCTAAAAAAAAAAAAAAAAAAAAAAAAAAAAAGGGACCCATTTGCATAGTATATTAGTATTAGAATTAGAAAGAAACCCGCACCACCACCGTCCCATTTTACTATTGTGTAGATTGCAATCTCCATCATCGTCTCTCTCTTCTCTTCACAGTGCAAAACCCTAGTTTGCCTTCTCAATTGGGTTCAGCGTCGAATTCAAATTCCCTGGCAGGTCAGTCTTCGTTTTCCAAGCTCTAATACCTTACACGTTTTCTGCACATTATGGATATTCAGTCTTAACGCAGTAAAAAATTGATTTTAAACAAAATTGCTTCTTTCTTAGTGTTCCCGTTGTCCGATGATTGGTTTATGAAATTCGGTTAATTGGGAAAAGTGTAAGGTCAAAAGTTGAACAAAAAAAGAAGAGATTTTTGAACGAAATGAACGATCTTTTATCACATTTCGACAAAAGATTATTGTGGAAATGGAATATTTTGTAATTTAAGTGTTTATGTATTAAGTGGTAAAAGAAAATTATTAGTGATGGTTATTTAGTTGATTACGTTGCTCATAGATGGGTCTTTGCCATTTATAAAGTGAAGTGCTTGCCTACTTTTTAGGTCCTTATTTAAGGATTAAATTTACATAATTAACTTATTTTCCGACTTTTTTTTTTGGTTTCTTATTGTCATTATTTATTATGTGAGATTCATTTTAGCATTAGGTGCTCAATATATTACATAGCACATGGATTTTCTAATTTTGGATGTTATTTAGTTCCAAAAGAATGAAGCCCCTGTTTGTTTCATTAGTTTAGTTCAATTCAACACAGTTTGAACAGTGAGCACAATTTGAACTAGCGTTTGGTAAGCATGCAATTTGAATTATATTCTTCATTTGAACTGAGTTAAACGGCTCAACTTAGAGTTTAGCTCCCCCTCAAGTTCAACCGTTCAAACTATTTTTGAACAGTAAAAAAGTGTCCACTCTCTCTGCTTTTCACACCTACTAAACACAAATTCAAATTTTATTCCCTGTTTAAATTAAAAATTTAACTATACATCTAAATGTCAATTCAAACTATAATTTAAACCACACAGTTTGAATTATTCTTTTTAAATCAAAAGGTTCAAACTAACAAAATTTAAACTAGAGAACCAAACGGGGGCGAAAATACTCGCTTTCTTAATCAATGCAGTTCCGCAGGTGAGTACATTCTGTCTGTTCAAAGTTGGGTTCTTGGACATTGGAAAGATTTCATGGCAGGTAGTGGCCTACCATCTTTAGGTCGCGTAAAGCTAACTGATCTAGCACCTGCCGAAGGCCTTCCATCCGATTCTTACAAGCTATCGGTTTCGACTTTAACGCAGTCACTGGCTCAATATTCTGCTGCCATTATTCAGTTTCCGATGAGTGATGGAGCTCTTCTACGAGCTGCTTTGGATTCCGCTCGCCTCTACTTCCAGCAAAAAGCATCATATCCGTCTACAGATATGATAAATAACAATGACCCACGCGATTGGTGCAAGACATCTGGTTACTACGCGGATTCCCAATTGTGGCAAGAAACCTATGATTACAGACCTGGTCTAACTCCTTCAGAATCCAACAACACAATGGAATTTCCTCCAGCAGGTCTTCCTGATATATTTGCCTTGCTTGGAAAGGCAGCTAGAGATATATTAGATGCTATCAGCTTCTTTTTAAACTTACGCAGCTCGCCCTTTTCTGAAATACTCGACAATGTTCCGCTGAGAACTCGGGAAGTATCATCTTCAGTGCTGTCTGTCTGCTGTCATGCAAGGCCATCATTTCAGGGAGCACAACACCACAATTTTGCAACCCAAGAGGACGGCCAACTGGTAATGTTTTCCGACCATGAGCATCAAGTGGACAAAAGCTTGATATCTCTGGTGAAGTCAGATAAGGCTGGTTTACACATAAAGGACTTTCAGGGTCGTTGGGTTCTGGTGGATGAAGATCTTGGTCCTCAGGAGGCCATTGTTTACCCCGGACTTGCACTTTATCAGGCAACTGCAGGATATGTCAACCCTGCACTGCACAGAACAGAGATCAGTAATCTCCAGAGCAACTTGTTCGGGCGGTCTTCTTTAGCTTTCAAACTCATGCCTAAATCTATGACTAGTCTCAGTTGTTCTGAGATGAGAGCCGCAGGTCATGGGGTAGAAGCTCAGTTCCAGCTTCCGGTTCCAGTTGACGATTTTATGCAGAGATCTCACCCAACTGATCAACTCTTTAACAGGCTTAATGTACAGAATTTCAACTTCAATGCGACCCAAGATGGTAGGAAACAATTTATTTTTTATTTTTTGTCGTGATTTATATACCCAAGTTATTCTTTTTTGACTTTATCATAAAACAAATTAATCTATTGAACAGATTTCAAAAGAAGTGAAACTCATTTAATGAAGGTGTTGTGCTTATCTTTTGAATGAAGAAAAGTAACATAATGATTCTAGGGATGGTTTAAGGCATTTGAATTTCCTTTTATGAGAGGAATAGAACTTGATGTCAGACTGTCTGTTCCTTTCTATCTATTTGAGTAGCTCTTTAGTGAGAGAAGCTTTTAACAGCAGGTCCTTGGATCGATGAAATGCTGGTACAGGATCTATGAAGCCTTTGGTAAGGAGGAGGAAGAATGATTCAAGAACCAAACCTCTGCCACCTTCAAAAAGGTTACGCCTCGAGGCCCAGAGAGTGCTAAAGGAAAGGGTTCAGGACATTGCAGACAAGAAGGGCATCAAGCTGAGATTCTGCAACCTGAAGGAGTGCGAGAATCACATTCACACGCTCGATAGCCCCTGTGCCAGTATAAGGATGGAGATAGGGTGGCCACCTGGAGTACCATTTGTCCATCCCCACGATCTACCAAATAAGGCAAAGATTGGTTTTCTTGAAGCGTATGAACCCGGTTGGACAGCAACTCATCATGATATGGAATTAAGTCTAACTGAACCTGGACAACCCAGTCAACACCCGGCTAACTGTAATTTTCATCCTGCTTCAACTTCATATCTTCTTCATTACCATAAATGCTTAGGCATGTAGTGCTTCTTGTGTTACTCTTTTCTTTGTTTCCTCCGACCTTTCATTCATATTCTTCCTTGCAGGAATCGATCTCCTTCATTTCCAATATGACCATAAATGACAGTTTTTGACGGCTGGAAATTTGCCGAAACTATCTGTTGATGATTCCAGTGTGTCATAACTGGGACAAGCTTTCTTTGGTGGGGTTCCTTATCTCGGACCACAGAAATAATCTAGACCCATCAGCGCGTAAGTCTCGTTAGAAGTAGTGATCATGAGCCTGTTGTCCACTGTCCAGTTTTAGATATGTGCTCAAAAAAGTTTTAGGCGTTTCTCTCCCTTTTAACTTGAACCAGCACTCGTAAAATAAAATGTAACATCACCCTTTTTTTTTTCTTTATTTATCTATTTTAAAATGGATAAGCTCACATTTGAAGTGGCCTTTATGTACCACATTTAATTTTTTTTGTTTTTTTATGTACCAGATAATCTCTCATTTTGTGAGCTCCGAGAAGAGTTTCAGAAGTAATCAGTTCAAGAGGGTGAAAGATGAAGAGAGACTTGAATAGTAGTACATGCTGACGGTGCATATTTAAAAGCTCATCAGAAAGTTTTGTGAAGAGGGAATGCCAATATTATTTAAGAACATTATTCAAGCAGAATATCAGTTATACAATTTATACTTAATATCTATAGGCAGTACTCTCTTCTGTCTGTTATATCCATAAAATGTTGGCTGTATATTTTCGCTGCCTAAGTAGACTACACTGGTTTACGCCAAAACTACGACATTATTTCTCCAAAATATTTATTTATGAAGTACCTCCACTGTTAATGGGATTTGAATCTTTGAATTAAGATGCACAAAAGGGCATTTCAGTTTGAATGTGCTTGTGCCAAATTAGCACTTAAACTAGTTATATAAGATGAAATGCAGCTTAATTGAACAGTAAATAACTAACGTCGCAACAACAAAAATAATGGTCCATCGTTATTACATCTATAAGCCTATAGTCCCCTGATTCAATTGGGCAACCATAATGATAAAATATGCTTACACCAGACTACTGCTCCACGTGCGGCTGATTAAAATACCCAAAAAAGCACCTCAGTTGCGCAGAGAAAGTCTCAGAAAAACATACTGGTTAGTCCACTGATTGATTCTCCAAAGCAAGCACTAAAAGAGCCGCAGGAGTAATTTAAAGGGCCATTACAGAACCGAAGCTTGCAAAGCTTAAATGCCTCACATGTCATCAAATGGCTGTATCCAGACCATCAGCATCTATTTCTTCTTCAGGCAAACTCGAAGTCTTTCTCAGCCTTGAAAGGGCGGTGGCTGGTTTTCAAAAGGCAACTCAATGAGAGTAGCATTGCCATAGAACTCTTCTAAGTTGTAAAATGCTCGCCGTTCAGGAAGAAATATATGGACAACTACGTCACCTGGAAGTCAAGAAGACAAGTAAACCATGCCGCTCTACCATAAGAATTACAAGAAGGATGTCCACCTAGCTTGGGAGCAAAAATATAGAAGGAAAAAAAAATATATATTTCGATTGCCTGTTGGGGAAATATTTCTCAAATTTTCTATATCAAAACTTGGACCAACAATGCTACCAAGACATGCTCAAGACACCAAATGGAAAGCTTCTCTAATGCTTGTGATGAGCTAATCAAGCTCTCAACCAAAGTTCAATAACAAGACTAGTTTTAATAGACTCGCTCAAACAACGAAACCAAACAAAACAATATGGCTTTCGAGATTTGTAAGGCTCTAAATCTAAACAGAAGACTCTTACCAAAATCCAACAGGGTCCAAGAGTTGGGTTCTCTGTCACCAGAAGGCACTTTCCCATACTGTTTCTCAGCCATATCTCTCATCTTGGACCTACAATGAAACCAACTAATTATGTTCAAGATTGCTGCTAATTGTTACTCAAAACTTACAGTAGCAAAACACATCACACCACAAGCTCAATTTGATGTCCTATAAGATGTAGCCATACCCAATTGCATCAATTTGAGGGCGAGAAAAAGCCGTGGCGATAATGAAAAATTGAGTCCAATACACAAGAGGCTTCACAAAAAGGACCTTTATGTCTCCTGCTTTCACCTCACTTGCAACCTTGGCCAAAGCCACGGCAACTACAACATATAGCAAAAAAAAACCCATTACTCAATGGGTTCAGTAGAAAGCATTTACAATATTTATGCCATCATTTCATACATTCATAAAGTCCGTTCTTTATAAATTATAACTGCCTCAGTTATCATTATAATTTGAAAAGCAAAAACTCCACTAAAATAACTTAATAGTAAAATCACAAGAGATACAAACAATAAGCATACATGATAAACTTTTAGCGTCATCATCAACCTCGGCACTTGGAGGCTTTTTATCATTGCTTCTAAACACCACTTTTCCATATCTGTCAAACAATTTGTCGAACATTTCATCGGTATCTTCACTAACATTCTGCACAACCCGAAAACAAAATGTCATTGATGCAGACCAACAATTCAAACATTCAAGGCTCCACAAATCACAGTAATTTAGGAATTTCTGTTAAAACATTTTTTTTTTTTAAAACAAAGATAAATTGGACCAAAAATATCAAAGTAGATTGCCATTTTTTTTCAGTCTTTTCCTTTGTGAGCAGAAACAATGATACACACAGACACATCAAAAAGGAAATATATAACTTCTAAGACGAAATACGGTACCTGAAGGAAACTATTTTCTTCGGCTTCTTTTCCTTTAGCAGAAACCGAGGTGGAAACTCTTCTGGTGGAGTTGAAAGTCAAGGTCTCGATTTGAGGCGTTTTCCATAAGCACTTGCAATGCGACAAACGGAAAGGAGGAAGCTTCGTTTGAGTTTGAGTTTGAGTCAACCTCGGAGTCGGCGCTTCGACACGACATAGATGTCGGACGTCCCCGGCGCCGGCGAGAGACGATGTAAGGGACACTGCCATTGTTTGTTGGCTACTGGCTACTGTGATGAGATGGATATTTTTCAAGATCATGTTTTATTACGACGATGGATTTTTTTAGAGTAATTTGCACATATGCCCCCAAACTCTTTTATAAGTGATGATTATTAATTTTTTTTTAGTAAAATGACCCTTAATCTTTTAAAAGGTGACAATTTAGTCATTTCTGTCAAATTTTGTTAAATTTTTAATAGAACATGTCACTTGACCAATTAAGTAACTCTTTTTTTAGTAAAATAACTTAAATGCCCTCAATAGAAAAGCCTTCTTCTTCTTCTTCTTCTTCTTCCCCAAATTTCATCTCCAAATCTAACAATTCGAAGCTGTAAATCCCTCTTTCATCTCTAAATTTCACTATCTTCTCTCTTTCTCACACAAATAAACAGCTTTTCCTCCACTTTCTCACAGATCAACAATTTCAGATCAAAACCAAACAAACTTTTCAAATAAATGATCAAAACTTAACGAGGAAAAGAAGAAGAAGAAGAAGAAGAAGAAGAAGAAGAAGAAGACTTTTCTAAGAAGAAGAAGAAGAAGAAGACTTTTCTAATAGGAGAATTTAAGTCATTTTACTAAAAAAATGAGTCACGTGATGGGTTACGTGACATGTTATGTTAAAAATTTAACGGAATTTGATAGAAATGACCAAACTGTCACCTTTTAAAAAGATTGGGGGTCGTTTTATGAAAAAAAAAAGATTAAAGATCAAACTGACACACTACAAAGTTTGAAAACCATATGTGCAGATTACTCATTTTTATATGAATGTGGATGTTGAGAACCTTATTTTGAAAAATGCTTATTTTCTCGTTCATTTATAAATAAAATTATGTACTGCCGCATATATGAAGACATTTTTATTTTTGTATAATGAAAAAAGGAAAAGAAATAATTAACACCAAAAAAAAGTATGAAAAGTAAGATAAAATTTGAACATTAAACATTATAAATTCCTAATATAGAAGAGTCAACTACTATAAAAACTACAACAATAGCATTTATGAAATTGTTTAATGAGAAGTCAACTCTTTTATTTAAATAAAAAAAA